TTGCTTTTGTTACCCATCAATCAAATTTATAATTTTTCCAAGTCTCTTCTTTCTTTTCCACGACTATTTTTTCCTACGATTATTTTTAAAAATTGCGGTAACATAAATAACTTATTATCTATATGTATACACTGAGAGAGAAAAGTGTTTACTGTGTTTAATGACTGTAATTGCATGGTATAAATAATTATGAACAGGAGTTCCATTTTTTATGATTATATATATTACTACTGTAATATTAATTTAACTTCATATATATAGTTCTTTTAAGCATGATAAAATTATACTATTAATTATGATAATTTCAAATATTAATATACTAAAACATCAAGATATAAATGATAAATAAAATAAACATTTTTATTTAATAAATGCAATCGCAATTATAACAAATATAACTTTTTTTTAATTCGTTTACTATTTATGTGGTAATAATAATTAAAAAATATGTTAAGATAAAACTAAAGGTTTTCAAGCAGTGTGTGTGACTGTTATTAATAGCACAATTGACTATATTTGCGTGGATAAAACAATTATAAATATATACTCGTATAATACGATATTGGACCGATGAGAATAAATCTAATTAATTAAGAGAAATCTTATTTTTCGGTCAAAGTAGAAATATTTAAGCATCTTAGTACTTAAATATTCTGGTGTGAATTTATATACACATCCAATTCTGCAAATCGCGCTCCGATATCTTTTTATTAGTTTTCAAACGCGATCATAAACAGAGTTAGAATTGGTTAGAATATCACATATTAAATTGACAAGCAATTTAATAATATTGATGCTAATGTGCATCTTATAAGAATATTAATAATTTGATGTTAATAAAAAATTTAATATGTGATATTACACTGAGAAAAAATATCCTAAATAATTTAAATAAATATTTATTTGAATAGAGAATGTGAACTGAAATTTATTTACAGTAAATAAATATTTACTTAATAAAAAGAAGAAATGATTGTTAAATTAAATTAATGTTTTTTGTACAAATAAATATATCTTTATAATTAATAAATATTTGATTGGCATTATTCAAATAAATGATTTATTAAAATTTAGTATTTTTTTCATTATACTATTCTAGTTTTGTTCGATCATGATTGTGTTTCCAGATTGAAAACAATGTCGGCGCGCGATTTGCAGAGGATGTATAAATTCACACTTCTGCTTTGATCGAAAAATAGAATTTCTCTTATAAATATATAGTTGTCCCAAAAAATGGCTATAAATTACATTTAAATTATGGTAATTGCAGCCATTTTTTTTCTCTCAGTGTACATATAACTTTTACTTTTACGTTGAAAATAATAGTGATGTTGAAAGCCGTTGGCATGATACATGAGAAATATAAGTAATTGGTATTTCTAGAAAGTCGGACATGTGCATTGCACTTTCGATTTTTTTTGAGTCGTTTTAACGATACGAGGTGTAATTACAGATAATAGTTTACGAACAATATTTAATGATAGATTTTCGTACAAGTGCGTAAAATCGTAACAATAAGAATAGAT